GCGGCGGAGATTGCTCGAGAGGATTTTTCGGTTGCCCGTCAGACCCTCCATGAGTCTCCTCCGTCCTGGGCCTGGGCTTGGCTGCGCACGGTCTCTGGAGGATGGATGACTAGTCATAGGATTTTGCACGTTCGTGGAAAGCTCAGCTGCGTTCTAGGATGTACAAACGAGCCAGACTCACTCAGACATTATTTATGTTGCCCCAGGTTAGCTTGGTCCGTTTCCGAGGCCCTCCGATCTCGCCCCTTATGCCTCGATCCTGTCGACCGTCTTGGAATCCCTGGTTATTGTACCGTCCCCATTCTCGAAGAGCTCTATGTTGCTTGCCATGCCTATCATCATCTCCGTCTCCTTCCTCCCGAGGTCTCCTCTCTCTCCTCCGCTGCACACGATGCTGCTCGGGCAGCTGTGCGTGATCTTCGGCTGCCCGCACAGGCGGGCCGCCCTGTCGGGTAGGGCGGGACGTCGTCGTCGTCGTGCGCTTGCCTCCTGCCTCATCCTCCCTCCGCCCTCGTCCTCCCTCGTCCTCCATCGTCCTCCCTTCTCCTTCTCCTCCTCCTCCTCCTCCCTCGTCCTCCCTTCTCCTCCTACTCTTTCTCCTCCTCCTGCTCCTCCTCCGGCGGCGGAGCGCGGTCCTGCACGAGGGCCTGGCGGCCAAGCAGCGGCCGCTTCTGGGGGGAGGGGTACAGTCGAGCTTGATGAGTAGGTCGACCCTTACAAATCAAGGGCGCCCTTGCGTCCTGTGCTTCCCGGTATTCATCGCGCTGTGAGTGCCTCCCCTCTTTCCGCCCCCCGCGGCCGCCTTCTACCTTCCTCTCCCTCTCGCGCCGCCAGACAAGAGTATTCCGTGCCCCGGACTACTTGAGCGCGAGTGCAGATTGCCTCTGCCGCGCGGCGACGGAAGAGTGTCCTCTGCTTCGCGACCCATGGCAACGTGGCTCGTGTCCTCGCGCATGTCCTGTCCAGTCAAGCCCGACGAAAGCGCCAGCCCGGTCGCCTGCGCCCGGCGACGCCCGCAGCGCAGTCCAGTACAGTGCGCGCCAGCAGTGCCGCCGCGCTGCCAGCTCCGCCCACTGCACCGCTCGCTGCCCGGCCGCGCAGCGCGCCCGTGCGCCGCGCTCGCAGCAGCCTGGCAGGCCCGGCGCCCTCCCCTCCTCCTCCTCCTCCTCCTCCTCCTCCTCCTCCTCCTCCTCCTCCTCCTCCTCCTCCTCCTCCTCCCTCCTCCTCCCCTCCTTCATCCTTCTTTTCCTCCTCGTCCTCCTCCTCCTCTTCCTCCTCCTCCTCCTTCTCTCCCCCCTCCCCCCTGTTTCACGTTGGCCATACATGAGCATCGTGGCTGCGGCGTCCTCCTCCTCCTTCTCCTCCTCCTCCTCCTCCTCCTCCTCCTCCTCCTCCTCCTCCTCCTCCTCCTCCTCCTGTTGCTCCCCCCACCCGCCCGCAGCGGCCTCTCGTCGAGGGCCTCGAGGCAGTGGCACCGACGCCCAGTGTTGTCGGCTGCCGGCTCGCGGAGGGTGAGGGAATCTAGGCTTAAATCGCGCATGTCCCTCTACAGGAGGGAAATCCAATAATAGTAACAAAGATAGTATGTGGACGATATTTCGTGCTCTTTTGACTGTTTGTTAGTCTGTTTTTGTAGAACTATTTGTGGTTTTCCTTCCAAAATCCGCCTGTAGAAGGACATGCCCGACCTAATTCTAGGCATTGGGCGATGAGTGGGCGATGAGCGACGCGAGCACGGCCGCTCTCGGCTTCGCCGTGGAGCCGTTTTTTTGATAAGTGAGCGCCTCGGGCGCCCTTCTTTCACTCGCCCCCTTTTACTCACCCCTGTTACTGGTCCGCTGCCCCCCTTCTATTCACCCCCTTTCGTACCGGGTTCAGGCGAGGATGCATCGACCTCCCAGTTGCCCACTCATCGTGGATGTGGGCAATGGAGTGGGGGCTGTGCGACGCAAGAAAAACGGCTTCGATTTCGTCGACATACGCGCTCAAGCTGCCCGCGTGAGGTCGCGCGCGAGCGCCCTCTCTTCTGATGCAGTGTGCTGCGCTGGCTGCCAGCGTAAGCTGCGGCGTAAGGTTGCTGTGCCATCTCGTGTAAGAGCCGTCTCTGATCGTCGCTCAGATGCGGTCGGACGATCGCGCCGCATCGCCGACGTCGCTGATGCATCGCCGATGCATCGGTGATGCCTCGACGACGCGGCACCATCCTCCGACCCCGCTCACTCTGACCACATCGTTAGAAGGAGGGGAGGTTTCTGTTGGCAGTTTTTGGTCTCTAAGGCCCACTGTTGGCGTAACGAGCCGGTCCCGGGGAAGGGGTCGAGACTTCTCAAGGGGTGAATGCGCAGTTTTCGGCCCGTGGGGGCCGTGGGGAAGGGATCGAGACGTCGAGACCTCCTCAAGGTTTGCGTGCCTGTGCGGGCCGTGGCTGGGCCTTGGTGGCCATCAACAGTCGACGGGAGTGGACATCCTCAAGTTTTGTGTTCGCATTCTCAGCTTCGGG